ACATTTCCCGCCTAAAGGGCACAATACACCCCCAGGGTTTTGGGACCCTGATGTACAGAAAAGACAGGCTTCATAGGAACATGCCCTTGGGCTCTGCCCCTTGGACCCCTTCTCTTCTCCTTTACACCCCCCTCCCTGGGAAAACTAAACAATCTCACGGCTTCAACTATCCCCTCTTGCTGACGACACCCAAATCCCTCTCCCCCCCTACCTCACCCCACATCCCCCCCGCATCACTCACCTAAATGAATCTCAGACTGGTGTCCCCTACATTTCCTAAAGCTCAACCTCTCCAAAAACCGAGTTCTCGTCTTTCCCCTTCCCACACCCCCCCCCCCATCCATCCACATCACCAAAAACTCCACTATCATTTCCCACCCCGAAAACCCAAAGCCGGGCGTCATTCTGACTGAACCTCCCCCTCCAACCGCATGTCAAATCACTACAAACACTGCAGGCCCCATCTTCGCAACATTGCAAGAAGCCCCTTCCTCCCCCAGCCCCCCCAAATTTAGTACACCCCTCATCATCCACCCCTTGATACTGCAACTCCCCCCAGGGGCCTACCCAAGGCAGGTTCCCCGCTCCAGAATCCTAAAAATCAGCTGCCAAAATCATCCCCCCTTTAAACCCCCGCCCCACCTCTGCACCCCCCTCTCCATCCCTCCACGGGCTCCCGTTGCCCAACGCATAAAATTTAAACTCCTAACCTGCCCTACAAACCCGTTCCAACAGTCCCCTGACTACCTCCCCAACCTGTCCCCAAGTACCCCCCTACCCGTACCCTTCGTCCTCACGGGACCCCCTTAAAATCCTGCCCCCTGGTCTCCTCCTCCCATGCACGACTGCGGGACTTCCCCAGGTCCCCCCCACCCTCGGAACCCACTGCCCCATCCATCAGACTGTCGCCCTTTCCCTTTTTAATTCAGGGGCTCCCCCAAAACCATCTCTTCAGGGGGAAACCCACCCCCCCCTCACCTAACGGCCCTCCTCCTCATTCTCAGGACAGGAAAGTGGCTTCTGCCCCGTGTGAGATCTCTGATGTTTGGAAAGATTGAAGTTACTTGAAAAACATTTCCCACACTCAGGACAGGAATACGGCTTTTCCCCCGTGTGACATCTCTGATGTTTGTAAAGACGGGACTTCTCTGGAAAACCTTTCCCACACTCAGGACAGGAATATGGCTTCTCCCCTGTGTGAGATCTCTGATGTTTGAAAAGATTGGACTGCTGTGAAAAACATTTCCCACACTCAGGACAGGAATATGGCTTCTCCCCCGTATGAGATCTCTGATGTGTGTTAAGATGGAACTTCACTGAAAAACATTTCCCACACTCAGTACAGGAATATGGCTTCTCCCCCGTGTGAGATCTCTGATGTCTGTAAAGACTGGACGTCTCTGAAAAACATTTCCCACACTCAGGACAGGAATACGGCTTCTCCCTGTGTGAGATCTCTGATGTATGGAAAGAACGGACTTGTCTGAAAAACATTTCCCACACTCAGGACAGGAATATGGCTTCTTCCCCGTGTGAGATCTCTGATGTCTGTAAAGACCGGACTTCTCTGAAAAACATTTCCCGCACTCAGGACAGGAATATGGCTTCTCCCCTGTGTGAGTTATTTTATGCCTATTAAGACCAGATTTATAATGGAAACCCTTCCCACACTCAGTACAGGAGAAGCTCTTCCCTGTTGGAAGGCCGGCCTGGTCCCGCACAGTCTGAGGTTCCTCAGGATACAAGGAATCCGATGGTCCATCTACACTGGGTGGTGCCGGTGCAGGTTGGACATCCTCAATGCCGGATGGACATCCTCAGAGGTTTTCCTCATCTCCCGGCCATGGACTAAAAGACAAAGAGGATTCTCCCCCGTGTGAGATCTCTGATGTCTGTAAAGACTGGACTTACTTGTAAAACATTTCCCGCACTCAGAACAGGAATATGGCTTCTCCCCCGTATGAGATCGCTGATGTGTGTAAAGATTGGACTTCAGTGAAAAACATTTCCCACACTCAGGACAGGAATACGGCTTCTCCCCTGTGTGAGTTCTCTGGTGTGTGTAAAGTTTGGACTTACTTGTAAAACATTTCCCGCACTCAGGACAGAATATGCCTTATCCCCCATGTGAGATCTCTGATGTGTGTAAAGACTGGACTTCTCTGAAAAACATTTCCCGCACTCAGGACAGGAATACGGCTTATCCCCCGTGTGAGATTTCTGATCTGTGCACAGATTGGTCTTCATTGAAAAACATTTCCCGCACTCAGGACAGGAATACGGCTTCTCCCCCGTGTGAGATCTTTTGTGCACATTAAGAATGGATTTATAACTGAAACATTTTCCACACTCTGTACAGGAGAACCTCTTCCCTGTTGGAAGGCCGGTCCAGTCCCACACAGTCTGAGGTTCCTCAGGATACAAGGAATCTGATGGTCCTTCTACACTGGGTGGTGCCGGATGGACATTGGAGGGAGCCGGGTTTTCTCCTGGACTATACTGTGTGATGTCCTCATCTTCTACTTTCCAGTCTGGAGACAAAGTGAGACAATCCTCGGAGGTTTTCCTCATCTCCCGGCCATGGACTAAAATACAAAGACAAAGAGGATTACTAGACAGGAGCTGATTGGTTCCCCCAAACCAGGACTCCGCCCACATCAGGCAGCTTGGTCTCTGAGGAGTTTACAATTCCACCCTCAAGGGAACTAGGAAATGGCTCCTCTGATCTCCTACCAGGTCATTTCTTTATTCATGGACCTTAGTCAGAGAGTGAGGAAACAACCAGAACTGTCTTTTATAGGAGGGACAGTGATGAGGGGATTATAGGACGAGGGTCCCCACCCCCTCTATCATTCATCGCCATCTTCCCAACACAAGAAGTACTGCACTTCTTATTTAGTCCATGATTTAGTCATGAAGAACAGCGGGGCTGAGCCCCACCAGAGGTCAGAGAGTGAGGATGGGGGGAGAACAACCAAGATGAAGACTGGACTGATCCTGAAGACCACCATCATTGGGGTATTGACTCCTCCCTCATTATCACTTTCTGTTTAAGGGTCCAAAGTTGGAGGATGTTATTATCACATTATTATCACCATGTAAAAGTCTGTGCTCCAATCACATCATCCGATATAAAATGTCCAGCTGGGAGGAAATGGGGGGAACAAAGAGAATCCATATTATGTATATATAGCAGTGGGGGGAGGGGGCAGAAGTCAGGAGTATGTAATGTACAACATGTAATGTAGGGGTCAGGAGTATGTAAGTACAACATAGAGTATATAGTGCAGGGGGGTATCAGGTAATGTACAATAGAGTATATAGTACAGGGGTCAGGAGTATGTAATGTACAACATAGAGCAGGGGTCAGGAGTATGTAATGTACAACATAGAGTATATAGTGCAGGGGTCAGGAGTATGTAATGTACAACATAGAGTATATAGTGCAGGGGTCAGGAGTATGTAATGCACATAGAGTATATAGTGCAGGGGTCAGGAGTATGTAATGTACAACATAGAGTATATAGTGCAGGGGTCAGGAGTATGTAATGTACAACATAGAGTATATAGTGCAGGGGTCAGGAGTATGTAATGTACAACATAGAGTATATAGTGCAGGGGTCAGGAGTATGTAATGTACAACATAGAGTAGTATAGTAGTGCAGGGGTCAGGAGTATGTAATGTACAACATAGAGTATATAGTGCAGGGGTCAGGAGTATGTAATGTACAACATAGAGTATATAGTGCAGGGGTCAGGAGTATGTAATGTACAACATAGAGTATATAGTGCAGGGGTCAGGAGTATGTAATGACAACATAGAGTATATAGTGCAGGGGTCAGGAGTATGTAATGTACACAGAGTATATAGTGAGGGGTATAAATGTACAGGGGTCAGGAGTATGTAATGTACAACATAGAGTATATAGTGCAGGGGTCAGGAGTATGTAATGTACAACATAGAGTATATAGTGCAGGGGTCAGGAGTATGTAATGTACAACATAGAGTATATAGTGCAGGGGTCAGGAGTATGTAATGTACAACATAGAGTATATAGTGCAGGGGTCAGGAGTATGTAATGTACAACATAGAGTATATAGTGCAGGGGTCAGGAGTATGTAATGTACAACATAGAGTATATAGTGCAGGGGTATAGTGCAGGGGTCAGGAGTCAGGATATGTAATGTACAACATAGAGTATATAGTGCAGGGGTCAGGAGTATGTAATGTACAACATAGAGTATATAGTGCAGGGGTCAGGAGTATGTAATGTACAACATAGAGTATATACAGGAGTATGTAATGTACAACATAGAGTATATAGTGCAGGGGTCAGGAGTATGTAATGTACAACATAGAGTATATAGTGCAGGGGTCAGGAGTATGTAATGTACAACATAGAGTATATAGTGCAGGGGTCAGGAGTATGTAATGTACAACATAGAGTATATAGTGCAGGGGTCAGGAGTATGTAATGTACAACATAGAGTATATAGTGCAGGGGTCAGGAGTATGTAATGTACGACATAGAGTAAATAGTGCAGGGGTCAGGAGTATGTAATGTCAGTATATAGATGTAATGTACAACATAGAGTATATAGTGCAGGGGTCAAGAGTATGTAATGTACAACATAGAGTATATAGTGCAGGGGTCAGGAGTATGTAATGTACAACATAGAGTATATAGTGCAGGGGTCAGGAGAATGTAATGTACAACATAGAGTATATAGTGCAGGGGTCAGGAGTATGTAATGTACAACATAGAGTATATAGTGCAGGGGTCAGGAGTATGTAATGTACAACATAGAGTATATAGTGCAGGGGTCAGGAGTATGTAATGTACAACATAGAGTATATAGTGCAGGGGTCAGGAGTATGTAATGTACAACATAGAGTATATAGTGCAGGGGTCAGGAGTATGTAATGTACAACATAGAGTATATAGTGCAGGGGTCAGGAGTATGTAATGTACAACATAGAGTATATAGTGCAGGGGTCAGGAGTATGTTGTACAACATAGAGTATATAGTGCAGGGGTCAGGAGTATGTAATGTACAACATAGAGTATATAGTGCAGGGGTCAGGAGTATGTAATGTACAACATAGAGTATATAGTGCAGGGGTCAGGAGTATGTAATGTACAACATAGAGTATATAGTGCAGGGGTCAGGAGTATGTAATGTACAACATAGAGTATATAGTGCAGGGGTCAGGAGTATGTAATGTACAACATAGAGTATATAGTGCAGGGGTCAGGAGGATGTAATGTACAAGTTATATAGTATAAGGGTCAGGACTCACAGTATTAGTATTCTGTAATCAGTGGAAGCTTAAATGTTTACTGTAGAAAACATCTAGAGGTGAGATGGGATTAAACCATCATGAAACAGGTTAGATTGGAGGTGAGCAAATCCTTGGACAGAGGGGTGGAGGTGGACGTGGTATATACTTGGAGAGAGGGGTGGACGTGGTATACTTGAACAGAGGGGTGGCGGTGGACGTGGTATACTTGGACAGGGGGGGGTGGCTGTGGACGTGGTATACTTGGACAGAGGGGTGGCGGTGGACGTGGTATACTTGGACAGAGGGGTGGCGGGGACGTGGTATACATTGACTTAGGGGTGGCGGTGGACGTGGTATACTTGGACAGAGGGGTGGCGGTGGACGTGGTATACTTGGACAGAGGGGTGGCGGTGGACGTGGTATACTTGGACAGGGGGGTGGGCGGGAACGTGGTATACTTGGACAGAGGGGTGGCTGTGGACGTGGTATACTTGGACAGAGGGGTGGCGGTGGACGTGGTATACTTGGACAGAGGGGTGGCGGTGGACGTGGTATACTCGGACAGAGGGGTGGCGGTGGACGTGGTATACTCGGACAGAGGTGGACGTGGTATACTCGGACAGAGGGGTGGGTGGACGTGGTATACTCGGACAGAGGGGGGGTGGCGGTGGACGTGGTATACTCGGACAGAGGGGTGGCGGTGGACGTGGTATACTCGGACAGAGGGGTGGCGGTGGACGTGGTATACTCGGACAGAGGGGTGGCGGTGGACGTGGTACACTTGGACAGAGGGGTGGCGGTGGACGTGGTACACTTGGACAGAGGGGTGGCGGTGGACGTGGTACACTTGGACAGAGGGGTGGCGGTGGACGTGGTACACTTGGACAGAGGGGTGGCGGTGGACGTGGTACACTTGGACAGAGGGGTGGCGGTGGACGTGGTACACTTGGACAGAGGGGGTGGCGGTGGACGTGGTATACTTGGACAGAGGGGTGGCGGTGGACGTGGTATACTTGGACAGAGGGGTGGCGGTGGACGTGGTATACTTGGACAGAGGGGTGGCGGTGGACGTGGTATACTTGGACACAGTTCCCCACACACGGCTAATGTGTAAGGTAAATCTACAGGCTGGAAAAATCTGAATGCAATTGGATTGAATACTGGCTAAAATATAGTATTCAGAGAGTAGTGGTTAATGATTCATACTCTGAATGGTCAGGGGGTGTCAGTGGTGGGTACCCCAAGTGGCGGTCAGTATAGTGGGGTACCCCAAGTTTCAGTGTGTGGGGTACCCCACAGGTTCTGAATGCATTGAATACTGGCTAAAATTAGTGGGGTACCCCAAGGTCAGGGGGTGTCAGTGGGTACCCCAAGGTTCAGTATTAGTGGGGTACCCCAAGTTTTCAGTGCCATCAGTGGGGTACCCCAAGGTTCATTGTTAGTGGGGTACCCCAAGATTCAGTGTCTTCCGTGGTGTACCCTAAGGTTCAGTGTTATTAGTGGGGTACCCCAAGGTTCATTGTTAGTGGGGTACCCCAAGATTCAGTGTCTTCCGTGGGGTACCTTAAGGTTCAGTGTGATTAGTGGAGTACCCCAAGGTTGTGTGATTATTGGGGTACCCCAAGGTTCAGTATCATCAGTGGTGTACCCCAAGGTTCAGTGACATCAGTGGTGTACCCCAAAGGTTCAGTATTAGTAGGGTACCCCAAGGTTCAGTGTTACTAGTGGCTGAAAAGAGAGGAAAGGGGGGAGGATGAGGGAAAATATATTTCAGGATGGTTAGTCCCTTCGCCAACATGGAGGTTGAAACCAAAATGGTTGAACCGCATCCATCTCTGATGCGCACTTTTGCAACAACCTCCACTGGCTTCCGATTGCCCAACGGATCAATTCAA